CTTGATTCCTACTTTAGCCTTCGAAAAAGTCATTTCTATAAGCAATTTTGAACAATTTTAAAGTTATTTTACTTTAACACTTCACCAACTTAGACCAAGTTTAAGATGACTTTGTGGATCATGCTTCAATGTATTATATATCAGTTGTCAATTTTGTCCTTGTCACAAAAATCTAAATGATGAGATAAGTTATTTAATCCAATATGATTTCAACATTTACATGTTTTTGATGAATAATTCAATTTATATGTATTATTATACAATACCTAAGTATTAATATACTAGTACAAAAAAGATTTTAAATGAGAGTTGACGATGAAGCTTATCTCCATCGTCTTACTAAATGATCATATGTTATTTTAAATTCATATCTAATATTTAAAGTTTGTCGATTTGATTTATACATTAACATTCCATATAAACTATCTAATTTTTTTGACCATAGTTATCATAATCTGTCAAAGGTGTCTTCATAGACTTCTAAGCAAATTAAAAATCATACGAGAAAATATTAGACCGTATTCTAAAATTTTGTAGGTTATTGCAAACGTTAGAGAGCTTTTATTTAGTTGTATTATTTCGTATTAATGTAGTATCTTATTTTTTGATTTTTACTACTATATATTGCTACATTTGCTCTGTTTATCTTGTTATTTTATTGTCATTATTTTTCTTTCTATCATGTTTTGTGGTTTATCGGAAACAACCTCCCTACTACACAAGGATAAGGGTAAGGTTGTACATACTATCCTTTTCGAACCTCACATATTAAACTACACTGAGTATGTTATGATTATTATAAGATTGAACGATATATGAATTATATTTGAATGTAAGGTTGTCCTAAAAGATAATTTCCGAAGGTTAAAAATGGAATAATTGTGTACACAAGTCCATATTGAGGCCCATTAAGTTGGGCTTGAATAGTAGATCTGATATTCTTTTGGGCCTTTAAAAAACCTAACAACAAATCCCCAATATATAAAGTTAAGTCTCATTAGGGTTTTATTTTTCTTCCATTGAAGTACCGCACCGGAGGAGGAGCTCGCCGCCGCAGCAACAACAACAACATCAGACATGGTGCTAAAGTAGGTTATCTTCTCTAAGTTGTAATTTTCAACAATTTTAGTATTTTGGAGAAACTCCATTTGATAATTGTATTGCTAGAAAGTTTATTTTACCATTTTCATTGGAGGTGAATCAGAAGTGTTTATAGGTTGATCCTTTCTGGGTTTTGCTGATTTGAGTTTTTATTACGTGGGAAATGGTCAAAAATCGAATCTTTATTGATTTTGCTATTGATTTTGGGAGATTTATGGTCATGTGTAGTGTAGATTGAAGTTTATTGTAGGAGGTAAAGAAGTTCTTGAAACCTTATGTTGTTTGGACTCTTGGAAAGTATTGCTGACTGTGTGTTGTGTCCTCCAAAAGTTAATTGGGTTTTTTACTACATGTGAAATGGTTAAAAATCAAATCTTTATAGTGTTCATCATCTTTTTTGGGTGATTTATGAACACGTGTAGTGTAGATTGGAGTCTATTGTAGGAGGAGAAGCGGTTCATGAATACCTATGTTGCTTGGACTCTTTTAAAGTGTGGTTGGGTGTGTATTGGATCCTATAAAAGTTAAGGTTTTTTTGATGATCCAACATGGGTGTGTCAGCAGTTTTGGAATGTTCAAGTAACATAGTTGACACCCCTCTATTGGTTAAATGTAGCTTCACGCTTCTTGGATCTTGTGTTTGATTATTTGGGTGTTTTGGAGGATCCAACATGGGGTGGCAGCATTTTTGAAAGGTGCAAGTAACACAGTTGAAACCCCTCTATTGATAAAATGTAACTTCGCTCCTCTTGGATCTTGTGTTTGGTTATATTTGGGTTTTAGTTATTTGGATTGATTAATGCACGATTAATATGAGAGTGGAGAAAATGGATGGGAAGAAGCATTGTTACTGTTAAGGTTTTGTCCTTGTATATTGATTCACTAAGAGGTTAAATTGGATGTACCTGAGTATTGTTTCTCTGATTATTGTTAAGCTAGCTTAATTGCTTGGTCAAAATGGAGATTAATGCACTGACGTTTATGTTTTAATGAGCTCCTTTTATACCTTATGTTATTTGATTAACCATTGAATGTGATGTTACAAATTGTTTTATACTCTTTGAGGTGTCCTGTAGTTCCCTCGATGTGGAATTTTAGTATATATATGACCACTACCTTTATTTTATTGAAGAAACTTCTAAAGACCTTGAGAGGATGACATGTTTTTGCTGCATTGCTTGCCTATATATTATTTCTGAGAATTGTTCAATGTTTTCATGATTCTGAATGGTTACAATTGATTCAGCTTTACACTGTCTGAAAAATGTATACACTGCCTATGATATATATCATTGACAATAAGCACAGATGATTTATGAACTGCCTTAACGGGGGAGGTACTTGCTGGTTGAATTTGTAATGATTCAGCTAGTCATTGGTTCTATTAGAGGAGTTACCTCTTCCTTGTGTTATTGATGACATGCCTTTACATTTGGTTTTGCCCCGGTCCTTTGTAGCATTGTAATTGATGACTCATTAGTTTTATTCTTATTTCCATTGCAGGACAGAACTCTGCCGTTTCAGCGGTGCCAAGATATACCCTGGGAGGGGAATCAGATTTATTCGATCAGATTCTCAGGTAATATGAAAACCCATTTCTTGGTGATGGTAGTTCAAGTGATTTGTGTACTGATGGTAGGAGACAAAGTCATGATTGCTTATAGTATTTTCTGGTCCTTGTAGGTGTTCCTATTTGTCAACTCAAAGTGCAAACATTACTTCCACAACCGCCTGAAGCCTTCCAAGCTTACATGGACTGCCATGTACAGGAAGCAGCACAAGAAGGTGAGTCCAGAATAAAGCATTTACAAGCTTCATTTTCTGAACTTAACGTTCTGCTTTCCACTTTGAATTTTTCCACCAACATTCCAACATTGAACGATACAACTTTGTGATGTGAAGTTGTACCCAGAGATTCACTTTGTTTACGTAGTTTATTGAGGAAAAATGTTTTACAGATTTTACCGCCTTTATGTTTTGCCATTTGATATGCACTATTGCCAATTTTAATTTGTTTTTCTTTTGTGCGTGTGCTCGGTAACATTAGGATATTGCACAAGAAGCTGTTAGGAAGAGGAGACGTGCCACAAAGAAACCTTACTCTAGGTCCATTGTGGGTGCAACCTTGGAGGTAATCCAGAAGAAGAGAGCTGAAAGGCCAGAAGTTCGAGATGCTGCCAGGGAGGCTGCTCTTCGGTGCGTATTAACCAAGCTCATATTTTGCCAATGTGGCTTTGTGCATCTTTTGAAATGGGATTGTTGACCATAGTAGTTTTATCTGCTGACGATGGACTGATTAGTTTGTTTGTTCGGTTTCTGCAGTGAAATCAAGGAAAGAATCAAGAAAACAAAGGACGAAAAGAAGGCCAAGAAGGCAGAGGTGGTGGCTAAGTCACAGAAAGCTGGAGGTAAGGGTAATGTGTCAAAGGGAGGATCAAAAGGCCCTAAGCTTGGCGGTGGTGGTGGAAAACGTTAAGCTATTGTTTATGTTGTTCTCTCAGTAGTGCTAGAGTGATTTTGCATCTTGATTGAGTGTAGCTATTCTGATCCACCAGCGTTTAGCGCACTCTGAAACAATATATTTCTGAATTTTGGGCTTGTTTTTCAAATATGCAGATTGCTTTACTTTCATCATTCTGTTATGATAATTATAATCTTGTTTCATTATGAGAAATTTATCTTCCTTGCAATGTATTGATGGTAGTATTTGCCTATAGTATACCCTCATTCTATTTTGTTTCTTTAAGAAAGTTCAATGAATAAAAGAAAGTTGGTGAGCAAAAACATCATTTGGTTGAACGGAACAAACTTCTTCAACTTGTTGAGAAGTGATGCATGATAGATAAAAAAGAACAAAGTAAGCATTTGTTTTGAAGTTCGATTAATTTAGTGTTGTGTCCTTCCATTAAAGCGGAAGTGATCCCAAATAATTTTGTTTTCTCCGAACCAAGTAGAGCATGCATGAAGAGTCAGATTCTTCTATTTCTACTTCCATGATGTAGCTATGTCATCGTGGACTTGAATAAGAGACCTCGTTTGTGAAGTAAATCTCCCAAATATTTTTGTATTTTTTCGAGCCAAAAAGAACATGCATGAGGAGTCAGATGCTTCTTCTGCTCTACTTTCCGAGTATAGCTATGTCATCTTGGACTTGAATAAGAGACTTCGTTTGTGAAGTAAATCGTTGCACCTACTATCTAAATATATTTTGAAAAGTAGGGAGTACAATGTTACACCTAATGTTCAAGTATGTGTCCTAATAACATACCTGGAGTTGAATGGTGGGAGACTAAAGAGCAAGCTAGAAACACACATTGTGTTAAAGATGTATATTTTTCTACCATGTTGTATATTTGAATAAAATTGCATCTTAGATCTTACAAGAACTACTTTTCATGTAATTTTAAATATCTTAAGTTTGAAATTTAAAAATATTAAATTAATTTAATTTAGCTACAAATTTAATCCTTGATAATCAAAACATGACAAGTATTTCAGACGAAGGAAGAACAATTTATTTCAAATAGATTTCTTTTTTATTATTTCACTCATGTAATCGTCTTTACAAATTTATATATTTGATGCCACGACAACGACTGTCTGTGAAGATTACGTATCATATCACAATTATAGGAAAGAATATTTTATTTGTACCTCTATTAAGGCCTGACAAGATTCAATCAAAATTCAAAATTTGAAAAAGTATTATAACTAATGACATCAATTAAACATCACCCATCTTATACTATATTAAAAAAAAACTGATGATATTAATGTCAATACAACAATAAGAGTAGTACAACCTTACAAATGACAAACTAATAAAAACCACTTAGTACTCCTAATCTTAAATATAACATCAACTTATCAAACTAAACTCTGCTACTACTCTATTCTCAATTTCTAATTAATCTGTCTTAGGTGCTAATTAAAGAGAAAATTAAACCTAACAAATTAATTAGAAGTAGCACAATTAAGTTAAATTAATCTCACTTCATGGATATGTTGGCAAAGTGGCCCAATAAGGTGGCATCACTGGATTAAGCCCATCTACAACATTATTAAAAACATAGCTACATTCAGCAATATTATTATTATTATTATTATTAATAATATTATTATTATTTTGATGGTTACTTATAGTAATTCCTCTTGTAATTGTCTTGTTGGAACTTGGCATTGATGTGCTTTCAACTGTTTCTTCACCTGATATTTCAGTGTAAACTGTGGAATTTACTTGTTTCTTTGTGGCTTGTTCCTTCAAAATTGCTCTTAATGCCAATACCTATCAAGAAAAAAAATTAAAAAAGAAAAGAGTTTAACTTCTGTACATTGACGGTGTAAAGGATTTGTACAATATAATAATAACAATAATATATACAGTGCAATTATATAAGTGGAGTCTGAAAAGGATAGTTTGTACGCCAGTAACATAAACCTTAGGGTGAATTTTGAACATTCTAAACCACTGAGTCAACTTCTAGTCTTATGTTCAAGGGATTCAAAATTTATTTAAACATACAAAAATAATACCTCATTTATACAATATAATTTTTTGTTGAGGGTGGTCGGGTGAATCGAACCCCTAGATTCCCCCTGGACCGTACGCAGTATGCACAATCTTTATCTTACCTTTTTAGAGGTACAAAGATTGTTTCCAATAGATCATCAGCTCAAGTAAAACATATAAATCAACATGTATACAATTTGAAATGTTCGAATAATATAGCCAAAAATACAAGAGAAATTACAAATAACCATCCATAATTTTTTTTTAAAGTTGGATTTGTGAACAACCTCTTGCAAAATATATGATAAAACTACGTATAATATCTAATGGTCCAAACCTTTCTTGGCAACGACAGAACCACTAGGTTTAAAGATATTCAACTGACATCTTTCACCGAAATACTATATTATGTATATAAAAAAAAACATTTCGTATATAGAAAATGATACATATATCTAGGTCACATGTTATTTTTTATATTATATAAATTAATTTTTGAACACTCTTAACGAAAATTATCATTTTTCGTTGTTCTTTGAAATATTAATATACATAAGTTAAATCTGAAAGAAAAAATGAACATGTACAAAATTTAAACTGCATGAGAGAGAATAATTTTTTTTTTTAATTCAAAAGAAAAGGAAAGGGAAAGAGGGAACAAAGTTGTATGATGTGTCAATTTCAATTTTTAATTTTATTACAAGGTTTTAATAGGGGACACAAAAATTTATTTTTAACATTTATTTATTTGCATTCAATTAAGCCCACCTTGCTTTAGAATGATGTGGACTACTGTAGTAAAAATTGTCTCCAAGTTAATTATGGCACCAATTATTATGAGTTCAATAAATATTAGGTATAAGTTCTTAACTTTAAAAATATAACGAGTTCAATTTTATTTTTTTTAAAAATAAATTCCATAAAGAAATAATTTTGAATTCGTATTTGAACCACAATTATATACTATGATTTTTAAGTTTCACAAAAATAGTTTTTTTGTCTTCTTCTTAAAATAGACAGGAAGAAAATTTGATGGATAGTTCAATACATGAAGCATCTCTCGTCTATGAAGGAGTCATATTCTAAGATATATATCAATGATTGATTTTATGATTTGAATTCATTAATTATATAGGTCACACAAAGTTACTACAATGGACTTTTACTTTCAGTATTGACCGGGACTTGTAACCTATAGGTCCTGGTAAATATTGAAATTTTGTGAGACTTTACAAGACATGTTCAATTCGAGTTGGGATTCTACAAGGTGTGTTCAATTTCAATTAGGATTCTTGGATGCTACTTAACCCTAAACCCTAGTTCAGACCTATATATAAAGGGTACTATATTCCCTTAAAAAGGCATCTCAAATATTCTGCAAATTCATGGAGTATTCATAAAGAGATCAAATCCAAATCAACCTAGTTCGAGAAATACGCTATTAACGACCTTGATTAGGGAGTAACAAAATTGTACCTACATATTTATCAATAAAATTATGTTTCTTCATTTTTTTTTTTGTGATTGGGATTTATAATTTTCTGTGACTGGGATTTATAATTTTCTGTGACTTTAAAATTTGTTGCAAACGGTCCGAACATGCAATTGTGCATGAATTGCATGGATATACAAGAAATTAAATGGAGAAAGAATTGTCACCTCATCTTGAAGCTTTTGTTTTTCCCTTGAAACAACATCATAGTCTTGTTTAAGTGAATCATAGAGTCTTTCAAGTTGTTTAGCCTTCCATCTAGCTCTCCTATTTTGGAACCAAACTGCAATTTGTCTTGGTTGTAATCCAAGTTCTTTAGCCAATTTCATTTTCCTGTCTGGATCAAGTTTTATCTCTTCTTGGAAACTATTTTCTAGTGACTCTAATTGATCACTTGACAACCTTTTCTTCTTGTCCAATTGATGTTGATTGAGTACAAAGTTGTTGTTGTTGTCCATTGTTGGGACTTGTACTCCACCATGTTGTGTTTGCATTGCATGCTTCATTTCCATACCTTCAAAAAAAAAAAACTTGTTATAATACGAGTTTAAGTTTTATACACTGATATTCTAAATCAATGAAAAGTAACATTATATGTTAGTTTCTAAGAATGATGTATAGTATATGAATAAATAAATAAAAAATTTGCTATTTTTTGTAATATATTTACCTTGATATTGGTCATAATTGTAGTTGTAGAGAAAATTGAGAGAATTATCAATAACTGGTCTTGAAACAAAAGGTCTAATATTTCCATTCCAATCCATATTTTTTCCTTCCTTCTAAACAAGGCAAAGTTTCAAGAAAACACACAAATTCTACCCCCTTCAATATATTGATAAATACTCTTTTCTTTTTCTAGTACTCAAAACAATGGACCACCTTAAAAAATAAAACAATTTTTAAAAAAAAGGGGTTTTTATGGTTTTGTCTTATTGATAAAGTTTGAAGACTTTCTTGGTTTGTTTTGAAGAAACAAAAGTGAAAAATGATAAGAAGATGTTGTAGGGAGAGTTTACTACACTTGTAGATATTATGTCAATTTGTGAAAGAGATAGTTAGAGTATAAAGAACTTGCGAGGGCTCTATATATGCTTCACTTTTTGGAGCAACTCATAAATACCACTCCCTCTTTTGGTTCTTGGATGTTCTTTATTTGGGACCTTGGGTGGGTGAGGGTACTATAGTGATATTAATTATACAAAAAAAATAAAATTATATATATATATATATATATATATATATTTATGATTAGTTATGAGGGTATCAATCTAAAGAAATATGTGATTTTTGTAATTTTGAAATAAGACAAGTTATCTGCTATTAAAGATAAAAATTATTCTCTATTTTTTATTTTATGTGGCATCGTTCTACTTGGTACGGTGCTTAAGAAAAAAAAAGCTCTAAAACAATCTTTGAATATCTGTGTGGCTGAAAATTATTTTAATTAAGGGTAAAAGAGGAATTTTAAAGTTAAATTATTTTCAATTATAGTAGGTTATATTATTTTTGGGACAGACTGAAAAGAAAAGGGTATCACATAAAATGAGACATAGAAAGTGTACATATGCATATGATAGTGTAAATATTTCTTACACGGAAGATACATATTATATGAATGAGTTTAAGTTATATACAACATTGTTATAATAGAGAGTTTTTTACACTGCATGTTATTGATCAATTGTAACGATTAATCTATTTTATTTTTTAGATTATAAATTTCTTTGTTTTTTTTTTCTTGGAGGCTTACCTATAAATTAACTTAAACTGTTAATTAATTGGGGAATTTTATTAGTGCTAAATTTCAAAAACAGAATTTGGACTCATTGATGTATATTTAAAGAACCATAAAATATGTGCATTCTTTATTAACTTAGGAGTTATTAATTGAGACTTAAAATCATATATGGGGTGAAAAAAATCCACTCCATATATTTTATTGGGGATTTAATTTAGTACTGTTAATATTTTTTGGGACCTTGAGTGGGTGTACTATAGAGATATTAATTAATTGGGATTTAATTTAGTGTTAAATTTCAACAGGAAAAAATTAACTCCAATGGTATGTTTAATTAAAGACCATAAAATTTGCACTTCCTTCATTAACTAGCTAGGAGTTATTGAGATCATTTAATCCTATATGAAGTAAAAAAAATCCTAATTCATCAAGTGAAGTGGTAAAAGAAATTAAAAGATGGGAAATAGATTGAGATTTTAAAATTTATGATTTTTATAGTAATTTTGGGTTTATTATAATGACTAGATTTGTAGGCAAAGTTTATAGATATTTAATAATTTTTTTAGTATATAATAAAGTCTGTGAAAACTACTAGGTTTATGTGAATTCGCTTTCGACTTTCTAGATTCAACATATATATACACATAAAGTCTTTGGGAAAAGATACTAGACTTACCGTGAATTTGTAAACCCCCCCCCCCCCTCCCCCACCCCACTCCTAAATTTACCCTTGGATTTACCTTATGTACACGATAATATTGTAAATAATTTTTACACATATCAGCATAATTTTTCATGCTATAACAAGTTGTCTATCCGTATTCTCCACATTACTAGTTATTTTGAATAATTTAATAGTGTAAAAATCTCTTTACTTTATCTGTGTAAATATAAAAAGTAAAACGCAAAGACACTTTGTATACTTATTGATGCACCTTAACCAGAGAAGAACTAAAGGAGCAAAAAGGCATCATTCAAATTCTTCAATTGAAAAATCACACTATATGAATATATAAATTTTATTTATTTTATTTTATTATGTATAATATATGATAAATTTTCTTAATACAAATAATGTATCCATCACTCATCTTTGAGTAAAACTTGAATTATTATTTTTCTGGGAGTGAAAAAAAGGATATATCAAAAGTCACCATCTAGAGGAGTGAAGTAGGTCTCGAGTTTCTGTCATGGATATGAAATTGTCTTGATACAAAGAGTGCTCTAACTTTAAAATGAAATTTTTCGACACAAATCCAAACTAATCAGACTCTAAATCCGATATATAAGTCACCATCTAGGGGGAGTATATGGTCCCCTACAAGGCCTAAAAAAAAAAGAGACAAGATGCCTTGAGCTATTTTCACGCCTATTGTCTTTTTTTTTTTTTTTATCTTTCTGACAAAATTAACAACTTTCTCCTTCCCTCTTTAGTACTTCTACTTCTTAGTACTTGTTTTCTTCTATATGCACCAATATTGAGTGCTCTTTTCTGTCTATTTGTAAGAAGATCATGAGGTTAAAGTTCACAAAAAAACAGTATTAGCAAGAGACAAATAATGTCTCTCTAGGGGGGGCGGAGCTACAGGGAGGGAGGCAAGAGGTTCAATTTTGAATTTTGTTCGTTAGAAAATTATACTGTATGTATGTATTAATAAGACAAATTATAATTTTTGTGGTTATGTATAGACTATTGGATTTTCTTGACATAAGATTAGATTATCATAGTGTAGTAGTAAAGGAGTCACTTTTCTGAGGAGAAGATTATCCTAATGTAGTAGCAAAGGAGTCGCTATTAAAAAAATGTGATTTTTTTAAGGAAAGTTCTATTAATGTGAAATTAGGGACGGAGCTAAGGGACACAAGAAAATTTTGTTGAACTGTATATACACAAGGTCAAGATTATTCTATATATAATATAGTATTGAATCTTTTCAAACTCTTCCTATATTTATTCTTTTATATTTTGAACATGACAGAACTGTCATTTCAATTATGAGTTCGACAAAACTCATTATCTTTGAGGTAAATAAATATTTATGTTAGAAAATAGTCTTAATATATATAACTAAATTATCAAAAATTTAATAACTTTGATTTTCCAATCTTAGCTTTGCCTCTAATTAAAATCCTCTTAGATTAGTAAAAAATCCGGCTTCATCACTATGTGCAACAAGTTTTTACACGGATTGCCTATGACCTTTAGTTTTTGCCCTTTAAATCAATAGTCTTTAATTTTTGTCCTTACTTTTCATTTACTAAAAATTTATAGGTTAAAATATTTTTAACCATGACTTAATTTTGTAAGGCAAAAGTCCTTGTCCGACAAAAGTTTTTTTAAACAAAAAAGACATAACTTTGTGAGTTCTTAAAGTAAAAACTTATCCCCATAATACATAACTCACGCCTAGCGTTTTTTTTTTTTTTGCCTTATAAGACATAACATGTGTCTTATTTACTTTTTCTTCGATTTCAAGTTTATTTTTTTTATTACTCAAAGTGTTAAAAACAATTGAAGACCATCTTAAAATAGAGACATTCATGTGAATGGCTTTACATGTCATTTAACATTGAGTCATTATTTAGCCTATCTCAACCCAAATAAATCGTGAAACCAAATTGTATAATAACCTATTTTATTTACTTTATTCATATTAACTCGCTTAAATTCAGTTCAAATCGTTCATTTACCGCGACTAGTCATACCTTAGGAAGATGACAAATTGATGAAAGGGGTCATTGATTAAAGCAAAGGAGGAAAAAAAAAAGTGTAAATGCATCAGAAATATGGTAAGGAACGAGGTAGTAGTGGTTAATAATAAATAAAAAGAGTAATGAATTGTTCTGCTGCTGCTGCTGCTGCCTAAAGGCCAATGGGTAGGTCTCCTATAATAAATGAACTTGCATACAAAATATATTGATTTTTTTTTCCTCTTTTGTTTTTAGTGAGTGTTCGATTTTTATATTAGAATCTAAAGCGTATATTGATCGGTTTGATTCTATTCAATTTATTAATTTTTAATTTGTAAATGTGTTTTATAATGGTTTGATATCGATTAAACAGATAAGAAAATACTCATATGATCATATTTTATATGATGTTCATAAAATGGAAATAGAAGTAAGGATAGAAGTGCCAAATTTATAAATTGATCATTTTTGTATAGAATAGAATTGATCGAATTTCTTATAAAGACTTGTGTAAGAACTTGCGAAATTAATTGTTTGTCAAATCTAAAATTGAGAAGAGAGAAGGTAATACTAATTTATGTCGAGAAGAGAGAAGGTGTCCCAATAGAAAGGAAGAGGCTGGTTTGTGTTGCCTATGGACGAAAGTAATACTAAAATTTACGAAATAAAGTTGGTAAAATGTTAAAGTCATAGTTATATAATTAGGAGTAAAATAGTAATTTTAATAGAATCTTATTGGGTTATCGATTTAACCATTAACTAAAATAATAAAATTAGAAATCGAATCGATATTGACAATTGAGTTGTATTTCCTTTTTGGTTCAGTTTATTGGTTAAATCGATTTTTGCACACCCCTATTAGAGTCCGTCCAAATTTAGATTTCCATTGAAAAATTTCACACTAGTGCTATGTCATTGTGTTCATCATCCAAAATGGGCCTCGACTGAATCATAATTTCCGTCTTAAAGTTTTATATTGAGGGTTAGACGTTTCCTAACAAAGACGATCTCATACAAAATTAAGATTTAAACCTCAGACCTCTGATTATTAAACAATACTTATCACTCCACCATAACTCATAAAAATGTCAGTCAGATACACTAAGCTCCTGGTATGTGAAGGATCCGAAAAAGGACCAGACCCCATAAGGGTCTATTATACGCCACTTACCAAATATTTCTACAAGAGACTATTTTCACAGCTCAAATATTCATGATCTCTTACACGACAACAACCTTACTAGTTACATCTAGGGGTGTTCACGGTTTGGTTTGGGTCGGTTATTGGTCAAAACCAAAACCAAACCAACTTAATCAGTTTTAAAATTATCAAAACCAAACCAAACCAAATATAATATACATTTATCGGTTTGGTTGTTTTCGGTTTTGGTTTGGTTTGGTTATTAACCATACATAAAAATAAAAGAAACAATTCATTCAAAACATGAAAAAAGTGACAACAATCCATTCAAACAAAAAAAATAGTTAGAATGAGTGGCATTACAAAACTTTCAATCATTGAATTTACTGAATAAAACTTTAAAATTCACTATTTTGGCATAGAAGGAAGAGTCAATGACATTTTCAGACCCACAAAGAATTTGCATA